TGCGCCCGAAGCCCCCGTCCCCTCGCGCCCGCTCCGAACGCACCAGGACCGCGGGGGAAGGCTTGGTGGCTTTGCTGACAGCCAAGGGCTTTGCCAGGAGGGCAGAACAGCTTTATCTCATGCCTTTAGGACCAGGCTGGGATCAATCCCTTGCCCACTCAGCACTGACATTCAGCCACCGCTCCTCTCTTTTCCTTCCCGTAACACAACTCGTTTTCTCTTCCCCGGCAGAAGTGAAATACAAGTTACACCTCAAGTTTCAGGTGTCAGAAGACCAGGAAAGACTTAAAAGCAGGTGGGAAGGCCCAGCTCCAGCACACCAGGCTGTGGTGTAGGGGAAACACTCGACTCCAGAGTCCTGTCTGCAGATCATGAGGCCAAAGAGGAGGCAGCACCTTTGGTAGCCAAAAACTAGGGGACGACTGCGGGGGAGGGAAAAGGGAAGACAGTCTCACAAGGCGAGACTCTCCACTGTGATCTAAAAATAAAAACTAAAACCCAGCGACAGCCAACGCAGACTTGCTCACAAAAACCAGCTGTTAAACAAGTTCCAGTTACAAAGTTAAATCCAGCCTTTGGCAACAGCTCTGAAGAATCTATCACCAAGGAGAGGTTTAACGGGAGCACAGCCGGGCCGAGTCTGCCTGCCCGGCCCACACCCGTGCCAAACGCTGGCTGGGACGGTGCTCGCCGGCCTCCCAACCTCAAGAACCCCAGGGCAAAGCCAGGAGAGGCAGAATCGCGCCATCCTGTTTGCACAAGTCACCCTCCTGAGAGCGACCGCAACGCTTCCCAGGGCGGCGAGCGCCCTGTCCAAAAAGGAGCTGACCACACGCCTGGATGATGTGGCAACAAGGGCTCTTCGTCAGAGGGGCAGGCCGGGCAGCTCACGCGCCCCAGCCTTTTCGCAGCAACCCCCAGAAAGCTACGCCGTCTCCTCCCCTGAGCTACACAGAGCAGAGAGAGAACACGGCAGCTCGTGTTTCAGACCACCTGCGGAAAAAGCACACGCAGAAACTCAATACGGCGCCCAGGCCCAGCACAAGTCAGCCTACAGGCGAACCCAATTCCCACGCTACAGCCTGCGGGGGCCTTTCAAAGGGCTCACACAGCAGCACGTAGGGCCAGGCAGGAGACCCAACCTTAGAACACCACGGGGAGACGGCCGTGTATCCTCTGCACGGCTACTCTAACGGCCCTGAACACGCTTACTGCTGGAATACACCCGCCCACCGCCCCGACCCTCAGAGCAAGTGCCACTCCTTCCCCACGCGTTGAAGTTTCACCCTCCCAGGAGTCCTTGGCACACCATGCCCCCCACCCCCAAGCTTCTGTAACACATCAGAAGGGTCCCCCCACGAGCCAACGATGCGGGTCAGAGGATATCCTCTTCGCTCACCCTGCGCGCACGCCGCGAGCAGAGGGTTTTGCAACACTCACACGGCAGTTACGGTGCACGGCTCGGCGGCGAGCCTGCCCTACTGCTCCGGCCAGCGAATAAACCGAAACCTGGGTTTAACTTCACTCTAAGCAAAGGATGCATCTGCTGACTCTTGGGCGTTTCAAGAGGCACCTGACAGCCAAAGCACACAGCGAGGCTCAGATGCACACACATAATGCCATTAGCAAATGCAGAGGGGAAGGAAAACTCAGTGGCAAAGGATTCTCCTTTCAGTTCTTACCTTTTTCTTCATGGCTGTGCTTGGCATCACCCACCTACAGAGAGAAGACCATCTTCTTACACCGCTCTACGTGCCTCACAGGCTTCACTTCAGCATCCAAATCCCACCCGCAGGAGCACCGTGAAAAGGGGAAGCACTCCCGCACTGGCATAACCCCCCCAACCTCCACCTCACCCCGCACCTGACAGCTTCTGCTCCCGACTTCAGCACAGGCCTCCGGCTGTCAGAAAACCCCTTCACACGCCCATGGCGAGCAACGAGCCCCCGAACAGGCCTGAGCAGGACGAGGGCAGCGGGAGACACCGCGCAGCTTGGTCTCCCCGCAGACGGCGGCCCGGCCGGCCTCGCCCGCAGTGCCCGCTCCTACCCCTT